AAGAGTGCACTTTGCACTGCAAAGAAATCCACCCAATTGTTTGGTGTCCAAGCCAGGGCTGGAAACTGGAGTCAAGAGTGCAACTTCTCCCTATGCTTTCACTTTCGGAAAGGCCAGTTTAGCCTCCCTTTTCAATGAGAAGAACCAGCTGGGACCTGGGAAGACTGGGAGTTAGAGCAAAGAGGTTGAAGAAGATGGGGGGAAAAGGGCTGCCGTAAAAATAAGACTGAAGTTTTCCTTTGGTCTTTGATATAACTTGGGAAGTCAGAGGCTTTTGGGACAACCATGGAGCTAAGTCACACCCATGACTTAAATGTGCTGCTAACTGGTGGCAGGGCAGGTAAGAAGGGAAACTGAAGTAGTAGTTTAGCTTGGAGTCAAAGGCTGCCTATACACATGCTCTGATGTATTCTAATTAGAACGCTCTAGCATTGCCGCAGTGTGTCACGTATTAAACCCCTCCACATTTCAAAATGGTCATGGGAATCACTGAATGAGCTTTAATTACAGCATCCGTCAACCATTTTGAAATGAATGGGGGCTTGATAGACATGATGTGGGGGCTTTTTGGGAATCAATCTAATTAAAACACGCCCCCCAACCCCCAAGCACAGGCAAAGGTTGCCTGTTTTTTACATTTTCTGTCACAATTTTATTCCCAGTTATGTATACAGAGGACTCAAAGGATATTTCAACACCATCTTTACTGAGAGGACTGACAGTAGAGGAAATGGAGCAATGGCTGTATATTTCTTGCAAAAGATTTTGAAGTCTGTTTGGTACCTTAACAAACTAGTATTAAAACACACAACATATTTCTTAATAGCTTGTGTGTTTCTCATTGCATTTCTTAGGCATTTCTTTCTGAAAAGAACATTAATTCTACCACAGGAATGATTACTAAATGCTCTCCGCACCAAAAAGAAGTCATAGTATTAAACCCTGGATATGCTGGAATTTGTACTCCAAACATGCCTAAAATCTAATTATCATTGAAAGAATAGGTAAAGAGTTGAGCAGAGGAGTAATGTAGGCAATAAAAATGTTTTTAAACATAAATTCTTTTGTGATTCAATGTGTGAATGTCTGTAAAGTTGGAGGGGTAGCAAACACAGGAAGAGAGACTCTTTAAAGTAATCTGGGGAGAATAGCGTAATCAGAAGAGGTATGGAAATGACAAACTTAAAATCTCATATGTAAGGAGAGGAAACAGACATGAGAAATGCTAATGAGAAGATGCAACTAAAAATGTCACCCCTGACACAAGAGAGTTTATTTTCATTTTGTCTCACTTTTTCTTAAGTCTGGTCCTGTTATCACTTTTCATATAACCAAGCTGGTCTACTGCAAGGAAGATGCAAGGTGAGCTGCATTAGGCACAGCTTTCCTGTCTCTTCAACATTTTCATGATTTGGGATTTTTATTTCTCCTGTTCCACATTGGGACATACACTATACCTTGTATACTTTTGGGATGCAAAAGCCCACATCCAAGACTAGTCAACAGTTTGCTGGTTAGAGCATTCATCAGGAGTGTCCACACGAGTGCGCACATGCCTCTTGTCCCACCTCAAACCCCTTTGAAAGAAAACAAGAAAATGTTCCCACCACTGCAAGTTTGCAGCGCAGGGAAAAAATGAGACCCCTAGATATCCAGGGGCCTAAAAAAATCAATGTTTAAAAAAGCAGAGCAGGGCATGGTCAGGAACCTGAGGCAACTGGAGGCTGGGTCCTCCACAGAGATGCTCTGGCTGCCAGAGCGTCTCCATGGTTGACCCTCGCTCTGGTGCTGAAACACGCGGCAGGCCAGGCCACATGTTTCAGCACCAGGGCTCTGGTGCTGGTGAGTAAGGGGCAAAGGGGGCTGGAGGGGGGGAGGGGACCCCCAA